AGTTTGAGTTCTTTAACCCGAATACAGTAGTACAAAAACTCGAACTGCAATTTGAGTTTTTTGGTCAGAAATGGATTAGAAATTTTTTAACTACATCATTTTGGATCCCCATCTCAACTAACCCAGACCCTAAACAGGAGGTAAGGTGAGATAGGTTCTCTTAATTGGTTTAGCCGTCAATGGTAGAATGATTCGACAAGACTGGACATTAAATTAGTAGGCATAGTCACATGGACGATAGGAATAAAAAGGTCTGGGATTGGTTGGGATGAGAATAATCTAAGTAAAGAGAGGACTTTAATATGTTTGAAAATGAAAGCTTTCCTTCCTTCTGGTGGTTGAGATGCCGCCATTATTGGGGCACATGTTATGAACTGATAACCACTGCTACAATCCCTTAACAACCTCATCAGTAGTCCTTGAATGAACTTTCATGTTCATGGAACAAAATGCCCATATGATTATGAACCATATGACTGTTAATAATTTTAATCATTGTAAGACTGTAAGTATATATATTATTTGTCATTATAGGAGTCTGCATGTTCTTCCATATGATTATGATCTGTTTTGAAAATAATTCCAATGATCAACAAAGTAAGTACCAGTGCAAAATTTTTAAATCTTCAGATGTTCACATGGCCAAGCATATGATCACAAGCTTATACATGTGTTAATGAGATGCATTTAAGCAAGAAACCATTTCATAACTGGGAATTGTATGGCGAATGTGAGAATCATGAGGATTAGGAATTATTGTGAATGTTTTGTATTTCAGTCCAGATTCGTACTTGTTTGGAATCTGATTTCAATTAGAGATTGATGGTGCTTTGGAAGCCTATTCTCTTTACAACTTGGAAATCTAACTCCATTGGGAAACAAGGGTATTTGGGTTCTCTTGCCTTTATTTTAGAGAAATTTTTGTCACCTTCATCTTCATTTGCCGGCGGAAACAACCTCTCTGCTTGTTGGGATAAAACTGTGTACATCTAACTCTCCCCAAATCCCACAATAATGAAAACCTCGTGCACTAGGTATGCCCTTTATATTTGGTTTGGCCCAAGGACATAGGCTTTCAAGTTAAACCATGTTTAGAGTCTTGTGTGTATAGCATGAATGCATATTTGGTAACGCATTTCAGCCCTGATTTTGGTTAAATCAGAAGCTCAGTTGAAGGGAACTTTGTTTGTTTAAACCCTTAAGCAGAAAATCTAATACCTTACTTTCTCTAAATCATGTCCAGCATGGTTTTAAGAGTCTTAAGATCCAATGATTTGGACATGGACTTGCCACCTGAGATATTATGAGATTTTTTTAGGAGAGGCCAAAATTTTTTTCGTAGGGCTTCACAAGTGGCCAACCCAATCATTGTCATAAATTGTCTGATGTGTGAAGATCTGATGGATTGATTAGTGTGTACTTGACAAAATGCAAAGGATTAGATTTCCTTCAGATATGGGTATGGAGCCAGCAGGTGCCAAACTAGACAGCCAAGGGGATATGAACCATTGCTAGACAGGTCCTTGGTGTTTTGAGGTTGGTATTAGAACACGTGTAATTTTAAATTATAGGGCAGTTTAATACACTAGTCTCTTGGCAGTGTCACCACGTGGTTTGAAAAGGGTCGGATGTATGTTCCATTTTACATCATTGAACGAAAACCGACCATGGTTGAATTGCTGCAATGTATAGAAGATGCTTCTAAATGGCTATGGCCTAGAAGGGTTGTGTTTACTGAATTTTATTCGTTCAACTAGACAAGGTTAGGGATATGCAGAGAAGAAAGGGTCTTTTATATGATGTTCAAGCAGTTAATTTTGGATGACTTTGATGAAATGAAATTTGTCTCTGTTCAGAAGAAAATTCTAAAATGAAATCGAATCATTTTCTCTTCGTCAATTTTTTAAAAAAGCTTGTCGTGTCGTCTTCTTTACTTTCCATCCAGCATACTGTCACACTGCCTCACTAGGACTCAACTTTCAAGTCTTCCTGTTGGCTTCTTTTCCAACACCAAGTGGCTTTTTATGCCTATGCCATTCCCTGCCGCTATTATCTACATCAGAATTACTGAAAACCCTTGAATGAGAATTGTGTTCTTCCATGCTTTTGCACCTAAAGTTTTGACTGAGTGATAGAAGGAATGGGCAAAGATTTATTGGCAGGTGATGGGTTTTGATCCCCCCCTTGATTCCTACAGAGATTCATGTCTTCATTTGCCCCTACAATGCTAGCAGAAGAATGGAGGGAACTGGCACAACCTCAAAACTCTCAAAAAAGACAAGAAATTTCAACTCTTAGTAATTTTTCACTGCGAGTCCCACTTGTCGAGCTAGGATTAAAGTCGGTCTTAGTGATCCAACAGTGTAAGGTGGAAAGGTTGTTACTCCATGGATATAAGTTACTCTAGAAATAATATTAGGCTAATCTTCCTCAAGAGTTTGTAACAGAAAGGTTTGACACCTTGATGTTGTCTTCTTGTCACCTGGGGGTTCAGTATGTTCCATGGGTTGGATTGTTTGACCACTTAAAACGATACGTGAGCTGAGTTTAGGACGTCAGTGCACAGTATAATTTCGATTGAGTTAACAGTAATTCTGCTAAACAAATCCAGACTTCACTTGAGACCATATTTTTTTTTTTATATGCTGAACCCAAATGATCCATGCATTTACACTAGTGTCTAGGCTTGAATTTGGTCTCAACATAAAGGGCAATCATAATATCTATAATAAAGTAGCTTACAATTTAAATTTCAAAAGATAAATAAAATAATTTTTGTTATTTGCGGTTAAGATCGCTTTAAATTTTATTTTAAAGTTAATCTAACGATTAATATTAACACCGTAAATTTAATGAAAAAAATAGGCTCCTAAATGTGTGTTTTGAGTGATTTTTTAAAAATACTTCTATAAATTATTTCTCATAAATACATTAAAAAAAAAATAGTGTTTAAAACTATCCTACCACTACCTCTACTATCACCACCGCCATGACCGTCGCCGCCACCACAACCACCACCGTCTCCGTCCACTACCTCTCACCCCTACTACAAACAGTGCTTAAATTCTTTTATCTATTTTCTATATTTGTAATTTAATTTTGGATATAAATATAAATATGTTTACTGTTTATTATTTTTTATTATTTTGTACTTTCAGGCACAGACAATAACTAGTAGTTATATATGAGAGCTAGCATATATATGCTAATTAGCGTATTTAACATAGTTAACAATTTCAGCTCTATATAAAGATCACAATTTATATCGTGCTTAGCATCAATATTGTCACTAGCAGAATGTATCATCCGTATCATCACTACTAACAATATTATCATTATGATCCATATCGTCACTAACCCTCAATATATATCTCGAGATCACTAATAAGAAAATTATCCCGGAACTTGTTCAAAAATTCCTTAATTAAAGGTAGAGAAGTTTGCTATTAGGCATTTGACCAAATTGAATTGTCCAGTTGCTAGAAAATTGCTATAGCCCTATTTCGGGCCCAAACCTCTTGTATGATGGAGCTGAATTCGATAGTCCACCAACAAATAGAGCCCAGCAATCAGCATCCTTCAATAGTACAGTTTGGGATATGTTAAGTTTGGGCAAAGAATACTTAATTGCGAGTATAAAGTATGTATTACAAGTATATTTACCCACCCATTAAAATAAATATAAATATATATATATATATATATATATATATATATATATATATATATCACTTTTGAAAAATAATTTGCAGCCATCCTTTTTTTTTTTTGCTTATAAAAGTACTTCAAAAATATCACAAGACATACCTTACTCTTCCTAGCTAACAAATTTTGGAATGAAAGAGATTAGAAATACGAAATAAAAAATAAAAATGCATGAATTTATGTGGTTCGAACTATAAACCTACATTTACGGGCACAATACGCATATGGACTCTGTCTCTCACTCCGAATATCTGCTTACTTTATTGCTAGATAATTGTTAATGAGTCGTATCAAGTTCTATTTGTATCATTTCTAAGTTTGATTATGTCAACATTGGTTGAGCCCATATCCAACCTACTTATATTTGTTTATAGTTTAGTTTGTGTTGTGTATAAAGCATCCATAAATCGTGTTTGTCTTTATTACATTTAAGCGATTGCAATTCATATTTATCTACTTATATGACAAATCTAACGGGTCCATTCATTTACTAATTACCAGTTAAAGTTCAAATCGAGTCCATTAATTCCATGTTAATTTCATGAGTGTTTAAAATTGATAAGCCTATTTATAAGGTGGGGACTAAGCATATTTTCAGAGGATTTTGTCCCGTCAAACAAAAAATATTTCCACACTTTTAATTAAAGCAAGCACCGACAAAAAAAAAAAACCCACCCTTCTTTTAGTATTTGGGTGGTAAACTGATAAAAAAAAAATAATACTAAAAGATGGGTGATCCAATAGTTATACCTGTCTTTTGTTAATTTAAAAGTCCCTGATTCAATTCTTTTTCACTCTATAAAGACTAGCTATCTTTATACTTTTAGAGACATATTTTAAACCAGAATCATGGTAACCAACCACTAATCTCGAAGAAATAATATGAAAATAAGATTGGACAGCTGTAACCAAAAAACAAAACAGCTTGTAATTCAAGCATTTGGTGAGCCTGACAGTTTGTGCCCACACTTATCGATTAAATTATTCCCAGGGCGCATCTCAATAATGCAAACCTACCAACTGAGCACCACATGCCAGCCATGACTATTCTCAGACTAAGCATATCCCAAAGGGATAACTACTAGAGTAGACTACATAATTTCATGTATAAATAAGGAGTAATATTATGTAAAATTAAAAATTAGACTAAATAATCTCAACCATTAAACAGACAGCAAGTCCTAATAAATACTGAAACTTACAATGAAATCAATTGTTGTAATTATCAAGTCTAATTTTTAAATTTATTTTTTAACTCCATATAACATTGCTCATAAATAAGAATGTTTCAAGCCCCACAGCAAATAACACATCATTTGAAAACAGTAGCGATGATTCTCAGATCATCCTCTTTCTTGATTCAAACCCTAGTCCTATGGTTTTTGATTCCCGGAACTCGACACAAGCCAGAAATATCACGCCCTAAATATAACACAAATCCAAAATGATACGACTCTTTAAGTGTGACTCAACACAATCCAGAAGACACCCATATTAGAGAACGCCAAGGATGCAAATGGCCGAGATAGTCAAAGGTTAACTGGATGCTTTTGAACATCTTAGACCCCATCAAAGTGGCATGAAGGTAGCTGCCTCCAAACCTGCACAGCAGGAATACTGAGAACAGCTAACGAAAAATCAAGCTAACAGCCAACTTGGTTTTGAGTACACATGCAAGAAAATTTTTCAACAAGCAAAACAATTTACATACTAAAATATTCCTGTATAAGCAGGAATTCACCACATTGCAGTTATATACTCCCCGAGAAAGGGTTTTATCATTTTCAGATTAGACATGACATGAAAGCATGAATTACAAAAAGAAAAACACACTAACGATCACTAATGCGTCTACCCATGATTGGCCGTCCAGTGCCAACATCTACTGATCAAAACTCAACCTTCAACAACCACCTGGGTAACATGCTTTGCAACCCTTCTCCCTCTTGTGCTGGATGGATGGCAACAATCATGTGTAAACAAATATAAGCTAATTCCTGTTTCGAGATTTCTCCACAGCCCTTGGAGCTGCACATAAAAGCAAAAAGTTTCAGAGAAATGAATTCATACCCACAGAAACCAGAGACTTGAATAACTGCAAAAAGCAAAAGTGTGACATGGAAAAGCAGCTCAGAAACAAGCATTGCCAAAATAATGAAATGTACCCCCAGTTTTAGTCCCCCATTAATGGGATTTTGGAGGGGTGGACTGGATACAAACCCTAAACTTCAGCACTATTTGCACGAAGTAGCCCTTATCAAATATACAACCTCAAAGTTATTGGGGCAAACTTAGGATGACAAACTAAATGCATGTGTATTTTCAATTCTCCCCAATATGCACGACTCAAAGCACATGGCCTGCCTAATTGAACCTTATAAACCTCAACAAAATTGCTAGATTTTTTGGGTCTTGGTATCAAAATGTTCATCATAAAATAATTCAAGAGAGGAAGGGGCATGGGGTGGACTACCACTTTTTTCTTAAAAGTGAATCTTGTTTCCTAAAATTCTTCGAATTCACATGTGAAAAATTCTCAAAGTGATAGAGCATACTTTTCTAGGTAGCTTTCCAGTTGACATAGTAAGGAAAGATAACTCAAGAATGAGAGTCCGAAATGCACACATGCAAGAGCAAATGGTGAAGTGGAAGTGCCATTCAAGGAAAAGGGAATGTTTTCTGTTCTGATAATTTGTAATCGTCCCCCCCTGTAGCAATATATGAAATACTCACCTAGGCCGATGGCATCAGAACCCTTCATGATCCGCAGTCTCTTGCATGTACCAATAAACATCCTGCCATGCGTGAAAGTAGGAATTAGGTAGCACGTACTCTGTGCAACTTATTAAAAACACTTTGGACAACTTTAATTTGTCGAATTTGTAGATGCCTAGGTTATTGATGCAAATTTCAGTCCACTAATAGATAAATTATGAGCAGCAGCAATGTTTTACTTCATGACCAAAGTTCTATGTGTTTCAGTGGAAGCAAAAAGGAAAAAATGAAGAAAATAATGTGTTCTAGTTGATTGATATTAAACTACTGAATGGCACTTTAGATCATCAGTAATAGAGCTATAATAATATGGACACATCTAAGAACTGAAATGGTGCATCAGGCTATTGCCCAGAAAACTCATCCAAGAAAAGGGGAAGCTCATTTCATCAATTGAGGAGGTGGAAAATGTTAAAAACTGAGTACCAATGCAAGTATAAGCCGCAAGAATAACAGTAAATTGAATCTCCTGCCATAAATAAACCCCTTACTATCCACGATTGGCAAGTCAGACAAGTGTTGACAAGCCATGTGTAACACCTTTTAGATTACTTCGGAAAGTGTGTCTGTGTCCTTAAAAAATGCATAAAACCACAATGTTCAGTGCCTTTTAAGAAGGTTAGCTATAATGTTGTCTTATTGTTCATCAATGTCTTACATTCTGCACATACAACTTGAAAATTGATACATATATATCTGCTAATGGTAGAACCCACAATTACACAAACATAATTACATCCCGATGCCTTGAGATATTTCTGTATTGAATACCTAGTTAGTGCTAAAATATGAAATTCATGACAATATTTAAAGATCATGAAACTGCAAATCTAAGAAGCCATGGTGGAATATTAAATTCATGCATACTAACAAAAATGCCACTGTCTGTTCATGCTCTTGGATGGGGAGCCTGGACAGCAATGGTGATGGCCAAAATGAATATTTACTGTGCACATCATTAAACAAAATAACCTACACGACTTTCAGTGTCTTTCCATGGTTAACAAGTAGCAACATGCTAGCTGATTGGAACCTCAACGAAAATATGAAGTATAACGTTTTAAGCCAATATAGGAAACTTGTGGGTTCTCCCTGACACCAGACATCATTAATGGATCAGTAACGAACTAACAAGATATAGTCTAGTTGTTATCTTATCGCACCAGTTTTAACTGTTACACTTTGCCATCAAACAGCTGCAGGATCGAAATAAAACATAATGTGCTTATAACATCTCCTGATCTCCATGGCAAGAGTGTGCCATGGAGATGCTATTAAGTAGGATTAATCTAGGAAGTAGATGTTGCTTAGTTACCATTCTTTTCCACGCATGTTTATTTTTCTGAATTTAATAAACATTCATGCACTCCAATCTTACATTCCCCAAGAACAAAATCAGTGCTCCTATTGGCCCCCTAACTGGCTGCTTCCTAAAAGAAACACTCGTAGTAACCATCAGGCAGCACTCCAAAACTACCCACTCTGCTGTATTCATCTCATTTGTTTTATGCACTGTCACATATCAAAATCATCCTAGAAGAACAGAAATTGTAACTTCTTGTTTATAGAGCTAATCTATCATTAAAAAATAAATGACATCAAAAGGATAGAAAAATCAACACAACAAACGTAGAGGATCAGAGCTTACTCCCAAGGAACATCACCAACAAGCATCCAGTCACCATCTTTATCCTCATAAGTAAGGACATACTCAGATCCATGGAGCAAATCCTTCAGCTTGCTCTCACTCAGCATCTCCCTGCCTGGAGCTCCATGAGACCCATACTGACCTGACATCATACCAAAATAGCCGTAACAAAAACCATCTTTGACATGCAAAAGACAAGTTCAATGTTCATTACACAATGCTTGAATTGTTTGCTATGATTGTTGTACCAATTGAAACTTAAAACAGGTTACCTATGGTAAAGCAGCTAAACATCTTCTCAAGGGAAGAAGAGAGCTCCTGATATGCGGAGTAAGCTCTCAAGTCCACTTTTCTTAGATAAGGAGCACCATCCATGCTGACCTTGATAAACAATGCGCCAGGTCCTGCTTTTCCATCAACTTCCTCGGTGTTCTTTGGACTAGAAGTCAGTTTATTCTTCCTAAACGATCTAATGGGTGGCCAACCCACAACCTGTGACCTGCCATGAATGGAAGATCAGAAAGAATCCTCAACATTAACTGCAAACGTTCTCAACATGCCCCACTTTTAAGTCATCTGCACTTACTTTGTAGCAGGTGCACTGCTGTTGTTATTTTCAGCTCCGACACAGTTTGTACTGGTCTCATTCGCAGGGCGAGATCTCTCCTGAGCTGTGTTTTGGGGAATCATCTCTTTCAGTTTACCTGGTTGAGTTCCAGGGTTTTCTTTCACGGAACCTGATTTCACACTAGAGTTTAGAGAAGCCCTGGGTGAGAGCATCACATTTACTTCCGAACTGACAAGAAATGAACGCTGTAACAAATTAAACAGATTCTGAATCAGACTTATTAGAAGAAATCATTCAACTTCATCATTAAGCATGAGCTTTTCACCTCTGAGAATCCATCCATAACATCTGAGAAGCCCCTTTTGTTGCCTGAGACAACTGCCTTTTGCGACAAGAAAGTAATACCTTCCTTTGAAGGATGTAACGGAAAGAGTGACTTCTCATCAAGTTTTGCCAAGCCTAGCAAGGAAAGCTCCGAATCCCTCTCAGGAG